GGGGGGGGGAATCTCATCTTGGATTTGAGTAAATAGCAGCATGTAAACACTCTCATTTGTGTTGGGTTTGACAAAAACTGAACTTTATATTCAAGCATTTTTACATGTAGGACAGCTCTGTTTGTTTCTCCTTAAAGCAAACTATTTATTTTCCAGCCTGCTTGTTTGTTTTAAGGTTAATAAGTTCAAATCGGTTTTGGGTATACCTGGAGGACAGTATTGTACTAACACTACTAAAGAATGTTTAATGAACTTTGCTGCAGCAAACTTTGCCTAAAATAAGTATGTGGATCTTCTCTTGGTTTCAGTTACTATTGCACTATCTGTGGCCAGATTTTGCTTTCATGTTATGTTAATAGCATGTGGGTGAACATAGGTTTGTAAAAGGAATAGAGGGAGAAATTACAATTTGGAGAAAAATACTTGCAAATATTGACTTTGGGTCCCGTATCAAGTTTTCCTTTGCAGCTATTTAAACACGCAGTCAACTATGCAGACTAGTTTTTCATCTAGATTCTTAAATGGCCTTCTACAACCTAACGTCTGAGTTCCTCCTACACCAGCTGAGGAACTAATGTATTTGATCACTTTTTCTTTCTTTCCTTCTTTCTTAGTTTAAACCCTTTTGGCGGGATCCCAGGAATACTATGGCCTGTTTGGTAAAAGCCAGCAAATTGCTGCCATGGCAGTAGCACGAGCTTTTCAGTTTTTAAATGCATCTATAGCAAATAGAAATAATATTCTCAAGTGTTGAGCTTTGTCTGAACAGTGAAGCACTGTGCTGTGTGCCGCAACCTTCTTGACACTATTCCCAATCTCTTTGTGTCTTCATTCAGCGGCACTGTTCCCCGCTGTGACTAGTAGACATGAGGGCATTTCTGTCTTGTATTGCCTTTGTGTGCTTATTAAAAAAGAATCAGCAAATCTGTTGAGTGCATGTTTAATGTAACACAGATGTGGGCACACCACTGTTCATTCTGCTTTACAAATTTTCAGCTTTTTGTATTTCATCAGTGTTGCTTATTATTTACAGAACGTAACTCGAGACGGCAGAACAAATTGTAGATTAAAAAAAAAAAAAAGAAATCAAGTCGTGTGGAATGCTGTTAGCTGTCCAGACCAAACAAACCAGTTTGCCAGTGGCTGATGGACTAAGACAATCAGTGCAATTCATGCTAACACTAGTGGCGCTTAATTAAAAGTCAGCTGACCTTATCACCAAGAGGAGAATTATCCCCAGGTTGAACATCTTAATACCTACCAAAGAGCAAGGAAGATCAGTAAACACATCCTCAGAGTAGAGATATTATACTCTTGAACTTATGCCATCCAAAAAAAAAAAATGCAGCTAAAAAAGTTGCCAGGAGTCTTTCAGAAACAGGATGTGATACTTTTCTTCTGTTTCTCTGGCCTGCTTCTGAAAATCAGGTTGCTCCTATCTGATTTCCTTCGAACAGTTTGGATTAAAAGGATCTGTTCTCCCCGCTTCTCGCAACAGTCCCATTTGCCACTCTTCAGATTCCTGCACTCATTTCTGCTGCTGAAGTATTAGAAAATGATCCATAGATTCATAGATTGTAAAGGCCAGAAGGGACCTCGGCAGATCATCGGGTCCAGCCCCCTGCACTGCACCGAGCAGGAAAGACAACTGGGGGTAGGGTGACCCCAGCAAGGTCGGGTATGAGATGTAAAAGTGTACTAGGGAGATTATTAAATATAAAAAATAGTATTTATTGTCATTGCTCATTCCAGGTTGAGTGGATTGAGGCTGCTTTATTCATTTCCTTTTCCCGAATGCTAAATGGAAATATTTCATTGGACAGATCATGATTGCCCTATTGCTGAAAGGGGTCCCTGTTCAAACCTGCTACTGTATTATCATTTTTAAATGTTTGCTGCTACAGTATCTAGATACTAGCTGGTAGGGGCTTTCCAGGGGTAATCAGATTTACTTATTTTTTTTCTCCTATATGTGGCATCTTCGGGTGTCCTTTTTTTCTCTGAGGCATGTGAGACACAAAAATGGGACTTTCCAGTGAGCTCTAAAGCTAGCAAGGATTAGGATACTGATTCCCTTTGGGACCATGTTCCTTTAAACATTCTGTTATCTTAATAAAGAAAAAGACCTTTTTACTTGGTATTGCTTAGTAGCATCATAATGAAACTCAGTACTGCTTTGTTCATCTCATACAGCTTGATCCAGAGGTCTAAAAGCACCCCGTAATTAAACCTCATCAGTGCACCTGGGATAAGAAGGAATTATTATTCCTGTTTTATGAAAGGGAAATCGGAGGGGTAGAAATTACATGATATGATCAGGATCACAGTGTTGGCCAGCAGCAAAGCTTGGAAAAGAACCTAGGATTTCTTCTCCTGTTTTTTAACTGCTTCCCCATGGGTCTTTCCTCTTACTTTTACATTGTCTCAGCTTTCCACATGCAGGATACATGGCTACTAGACTTTTTAGGCTGTTCTGCAGAAAATTAAATAATTTAAATGATTTGGGCTGTGAACTTTACGTGTTCACTTTAGTGCTGAAGTTGCCCTCGTTCAAATGAATGCTAACAATGAAATACTACTTTTCACTTCAACCTTATTTCATTTTGTAAATGAATTAATCTCTCTTTATACATTTAGGAAACTAAATGTTTGCATCTGTAATAGATGAGTCTCATATCATGTGGTTCTAAGATGCCGCTGATCACTTTTAACGTTCATATTGTGATTTTAGTAAAAATGCATAGGAGCTGAAAGTGTTAAAGTGTTTCATCTGGGAAGATGATTCCTCACTTGGCAAAATCAAAAGCTGTGTAGCATCAGGGCAGTCAAGGCTGAACATCAGTATTTCAATGTTGCTGGTGGAGTCTCTTGGTCTTGATTTTAAATTTTGCAATTGAAAGTCCTTGGAAGAAGGAGGAAGGTTGCAAAGACTTTGCAAGGAAGATGAGAAAACAAGCCCGGTTAGATAAACAGTTTGTCCCTCTCTTGTAGCTAATCTCTTCATTTGTATTCAGCAAATTGGTGTGCCTTGTAAAGTTGTAAAAGGTTGCTGTAACTGGATGAGGGAGTGCAGATGGAGAGCCTGGGCTGCTGAGATTGCAGAGTAATAGTGCATGGGGAGAAGGAAAACTCTCCCAAGTGAATGGCTCTTAAGAGCTAATAGATGTGCAGAGATTTGTTTTAACCTTTTATTTATTTAAGTTCTTTGATTACAGACTAGCTTACTTCCCTGGGTTTTCCACCTGCCTGGAAACAGGAGCTTGCAAGAATTTAGATAAATGGATTAAAGAGGTTTCTAGTTTTACCTCCTCATACCTGACTGTCCTTGGCTGAAATGCTATTTTATAACTTTTTATGCTTCTGTGGATAACCCATCCCAACACCCCCACCACCGTGGCAGTGGGAATAGCTTCCTTTTCTCCAGTTTAAGGAAGCACTCTGCTAGGCACCATTTATCTAGGGGTTTCTAAACAGCACGGACGCATAGCAGAGAAGCACTTCTCAGTAGTGCAGTGCTGTATATCAGGTTCGTAGTCAGCTTCTAATACCAAATGTATGGTATTGTTACCTAGTTTAGAGGCAAAATTGGAAAATGTCTAATGGAGGCAGTCACACCCTCAAACACTGGAGGCATTTCAGGTTACTTTGCTTTATGTTAAGTCAGCTAGTTCCCATCAATCTGCCTATTCTTTCATTGTTTGCATTAATCTGTCTTCTATTTCAAAAGCGTGCATAAGCAAAAATAGTAGCCTTTTGTCTTTTTGCCACACATCCTGGGTACAGGTGCTCTGTTACCCCTTCGTAGAGCTGAAGGCTTGTGGTTGAACAGCTCTTGGTCCCCTCAAAATGCCAAAGTAGCTTAACCACACTTTTCCCAAAACATTAACTTTGTGGGCACTTCTAGTTTAATTTACTTACTTGGGGACATGTAATAAGTGAAGCCAATAGTGTGCAGGCTTTGGAAAGATTTCTAATGCAGTTACTCTTTACAATATCTAGAGGAAACAACAGTCTCTACACTATCCCATAGTTTCCTCTCAGATCTTGTCAGGATTTGGTTGGAGTCCTATGGATCAAGGATCTCTACCTCCTGCCCATAGCTTCTCTGTATCGGGGATTCTTTCTCATCACTATCCCCACAGTACAGGCAGTCCTTGATTTAAGACATTTTGAGTTACAATGCACAGCACTTATGACATTTATAAATTGACACCCTGTTTTGACTTTCTGGTGTCAGTTTTGACTTTACAATGCTTGATCTGACGTGACACCATGCCAGCAAACAAGTTTGCTGCGTCACCCATCTTCCTGGAGAACATCCGTCCAAACTTCCTTAGACACTTTCTTTAAGAAAGCAGATGAGACTCCAGAAAAACCTGCAGCCCAGACTCATGAGAAGACTCCAGCTAATAGGGCTGTGCAAAGCTTCGGTCCCTGATTCAGTTTGGCAGAGATTCAGCCCGGTTCAGTGGCTGAATCTCCGAATTGAATCAGGAGACCCTTTAATCTCTCTGAACTGAATCAGAACTCTCCAAATTGATTCGGAAAGATTCGGCAATTCAGACATAGACACAGCTTTAAATGTTTTTTCTACATACCTCAAGGTACCAGGCGGCTCATGAATGCTGAGATGCTGGGGCGGTTGGAGCGTCCCACAGGAGTATGGGGGGCTCCCCAGCGCACTCGGCAGCAGATCAGGAAGTGGACCAGAAGCACTTCTGGCGACTGCCCCCTGGGTTGGGGGGGGCACCTGGGGTCCCCCCATGGCTGATTGCCGAGCCGGGGGAGCATGGGCCCCCCCACCCCCACCATGCTCCCCAGTGGACCAGAAGTACTTCTGGTCCACTTCCTGGTTTGCTGCCGAGCATATGGGGGCGGGGGGCTATGCGCTCCTGTGTGGGACACTCTATCTGCCCCAGCATTGCAGCGTTCACAAGCCGTGCTGGTACCTCAAGGTATGTAGAAAAAACATTTAAAACTGTGTCTGTGGCCGAATCAGCATCAAATCTTCGGATTTGGCCAAATCAAACTGGGGACAGTGATCTGCATTGCCGAATCAAATTGGGGACAGTGACTTGGGCTGAATCCAAATCGAATGCAACACATTTCGCATGCCCCTACCAGCCAAGAACCCTTCCAGAAGTCAACCAAGAGCCCTGCAAAAAGTCTAGCAAAGTAACCTCAAAGAAGTCTTTCCAAATCAATATGATTGGTATTTACCATATAAATACATTGATGTAGCTATATTACTTATTACTCATGTAATTGATTGAGTAGAACATTCTGGGTTATTTTTGGTGAAAACAGGGTATCGGGCTTTGATTCAGGAACCAATCTCCCATTTATAACATTGTTCCTATGGGAAAATCGGTTCTGAGTTGCAACGTTTTGACTTAAGACACGGTTTCCAGGAACCAATTGTGTCATAAGTCCAAGAACTGCCTGTACCCTCTTCTACCATAGGCTGTTTCCGCAGTCAGAAGCGACTGTTCTCCTGTTTAAAGATTTTCCACTCTCCACTCACCTCCCTGCAGATGCATTTGGGCCCCGTCTATACTCATCTGCCTCTGCCTCCTGCCAGAGCTTCTGGCGGCGGACAGCAGTCACCGCTGCCAAGCTGCAAGAGCGCATGCGTGTCCATGCATTTCTGATGGCTTTGTGTAACTTCAGGCAGCAGCTGTGTTCCAAAGCAAGAAATGCACCCTGGGAAAGCACCAGCTGCTGAACAGATGGCAGCAGCTGACAGAAGGCAGAGGAGTGCCCATGTGTGCCTGTTGGCAGAAGCCTTGCTCCAGTCTGCGGCGGTGGTTTAAGTGTTGGCAGAAAAGAGGACTCTGCCATCACAGAGGTGCTTTGGTTGAGAGCGTGATCAAAGTTTGAGGAAAGCCCTGGAGTATTACCAAGAAAACTGTTACATGGCCTGGGCCACGGTTTAATTGGTTTTCTACTTAATGACCTGACAAAGAATGTCTTGCATTTGAAAGCTTGTCTAACTGTATCCCAACTATGCAGTCTGTCCAGTAAAAGCTATCACCCTAAGAGTCCTTGCCTCTTGCATAATTTCTGGACCATCAGAGCTATAGCATCACTTTAACACAACTTTTTTCACCCAAGTCACCTTCCCTAGCATACCCATTGTTCAGCAAGAAGACGGTCATTAACAGTGATGACTTTTTTTTTTTGTTTTGTTTCCTCTGTAGCGTCTTCCAGTCAGAAGCAGTGATAGATGTTTCTCCAGAAATGAGACATCTCATAGGGTGGGGTCGGACTAGATGATCTGCTCAGGTCCCTTCCGACCCTAGAAACTATGAAACTGTGAGACTCACTATATATTGAAGCATTTGATGATCTAACAACCTAATAAAGTTAATTCTTAAATTGTTTATCACATGTGGAAGTACAGATTTGCCAACTTTTGGTGATTCACCATGAACTCTGCTTCCTCCAAATACATCCCTGACGCAGAATAAAGCAGCAGTAATCTAAACGCCAAGTGAATTTGTGCAAGACAAGAATTTTTGCGGGTGATTCCTTTTATTAGACCAACTGCATGGTTGGGGATACCGGAAAGCTTGTCTAAGTCTGTCCCAGAAGGGTATACACTTTAGACTAACTAAATAAGATATATAGCATAAACATAGGCTTTTGTGAACTCAAGACTGGGGGGTGGGGAGGGTTGGTGAATTGGGGACAGAGTTGCTGAAGGGGAAAGGTACTAAAGAAACAACAAGACTCCAGAGAAAACATCTGCAGAAGGCAAGTACTCTTGTCCGCTATTGCCAAGCAGCTTAAAAACCTCATTGCGATGTGGGATTTTTCCTTTCAGATCAAAAAGACAAAAGCAGTTCATTCTGCAGGGCCTGTAGAAAGCATTAAGAGCAGACAGAGTGGACTAATCAGAAATACGCCATTTGGCTCTAAATAACCTCTTGAAGAATTAGAATAACCCGAAAGAGATACCTGAAGAGCATGCAGCGTACCCAAAGTGGTGCTATTTGAAAGAGGCAGAGAGTAAAGCAGAACTGGGTATCCTATGCAGCACCATTCAATCCAATTCAAATTACTTTGATTTCAATTTGAGACCTGCCTGCAGTGGAGAATTGAAAAAAGTGGATCCACCTGCATATTTGCTTAGACCACCCCCAAATATAATACAGGTTTCCCTCACTTCATGCGGGTTCTGTATGTGCAAATTCGCTCTTATGCGATGACCCTTTTTATATAAAAAAAAATTCATTATATGTAAGGTAAATTCACTCTTATGTGATCTTTGTGCGGTGCATTGTGGGAATGACGCGCGCCAAAATATAATCTTTTGTGTGTATCTGTGCTCCTTGCTCATTGTCTGTGGCACGTGTTTCTGTAGTTGCCCTCCCCCTTATGATAGTGCCCTGTGCTTGTGTGTACTGTCTTCTTTTGGTGAGTACCAAAATGGCCTTGTAAAAGTGGTAGAAATGGGTCTGGGCGTCAGTACAGTCGAGGTCTTGAAACGTATTCCTATTTGTTACATTGTAAAGTGGGTTCCCTTGATGCGAATTTGAGTTATGTGCCATTTTCCAGGAACGCATGTACAGCTTAAAGCAAGGGAAACCTGTATTACAGTTTAAAAATAGAGCAGGTGCCAATAAAAGCCTAATTTAGTGGCTTTTCTATGTCAAAAATATACCGTGTCTATACAGTGACTTAATATATTGAGTGAATTAATGCAACTGAGTTTTGTGTGCATGTGTTGTATGTAGGGCACAAGCTGAGAGAGTGAGGAAGCCACGCTGCTGTAGAAATCCCCAAGGGCTCCTGCCACGGTATTCAGAAAGCCAAGCAGAAGGACAAGAACAGCTCTTCAAGCTGACAGATAACATCCAAGATGAGTTGTAAGTACTGTTCCAGCAACTGTAGTGTTTTCAATACACCCATTACATGCACTGTATTTTTTGTGTCCTTGTCCCTTTTCTCCCCCATCCCACTTCCATTTCATCTATTTCTCTTTCTTTTGTTTTCCTGGAAGATGGAATGGGTGCTTGGCAACTTTCACCATTGCCTCCCTTTCAAGTGTCTCCATGTAATATACTAACGTTACATCATGTCATCTCTCAGAAGTGGCAAAACTGGACACAGTGCTCCAGATGTGGCTTCATACCCGTGCCAGATAGAGAAGAATGATCACTTCCCTTGATCTGCTGGGAACACTGCAGCCCAGTATGCCATCAAGCTTCTTCGCAACAAGGACACACTGTTAGCTCATATTCAGCTTATTGTCCTTTGCAACCCCCATGTCATTTTCTGCGTAGACAGTCCATCCCCAGCCTGCACTGGTGCTTGGGATTATTTCAGTCTAAGTGCAGGACTTTGCACTTCTCCTTCTTGAACCTCATGGGATTTCTTTTGGTCTAATCCTCCAATTTCTCATTTATTCCTCATGGCTTGGTGTTATCTGTAAACTTGCTGAGGGTGCATTTTGTCCCATCTTCCAGGTTGTTAATGAAGATATTGAACAAAATCGGCCCCAGGACTCACCCCTGGGGCACTCCGCTTGATACTGGCTGCCAACTAGACATCGAACCGTTGACTACTACCCTTTGAGCCCAATGCTCCTGCCAGTTTTCTGTCCACCTTGCAGCCCATTCATCCAATCTGTACTTCCTTATCTTGCTTGTGAGAGTGCTGTGGGAGACTGTATCAAAAGCCTTGCTAAAATCAAGGTGCAACATATCCACTGGTCTCCCCGCATCCACAGAGCCAGTCATCTTGAAGGCAGTCAGGTTGTTCAGGCATGACTTGCCCCTGGTGAATCCATGCTGACTGCTCCTAATCACTGTCTTCTCCAAGTGCCTAGATTTTGTTTTTATATGTATTTTTTCCTTTTGAGAAAAGGAAATTATACAGAAATTATAGTACTGGGCATCTGGCTTTGTGCCTTAATCTGTCTAATTTTGGGTATTCCCTGCCCTTCCGTATCCTTCTCTTCCTTTCTCCTCATTATTTTTCAAACTCAGAGGCATAATAGATATGGCATCTGCTCCACAAGCATTATAATTGCATCAGCACTC